TCTTGACCACAGTAAAACACCATTTTAATCCTTAAACCAAGAAACAGAGGCTTACAGTTCATTTATTTACCGCATTCTCAGTCACTAGACTCGCGAGTTTCAACCAGGGGGAAATATTTACTGTTGTTCAAGCCTGACCCACAGACAAGCCGATCGATAGAGTAGGGTGGCTCCTTGATTGAAGCCTGGAGGGACTAGCTGACTAGCTTAATATGCCGGACATGCCCCAGCCCGCATTCAAAATCACACATTGTCTAGCTCAGAATTTCGGGGCCTTTCCTCCAAATTCATGAATTCAGTATAAATGTAAATATAGAAGAATAAAAATCAAGAAAGCGGAGCGAGCTCATACCGCTCTTAAGGCCTGAACAAACACGTACGGTTTGCGTGCCAGTTTAGCCGGATCCTTTCAGAACGATAAAATAGGCGCGCTGCGTAGACCGCAACCGTAGACCGAACGCCGCATCGCAAACCGTGCCTGTATCTTCATGCCTTTAGACTGTGCTTTTCACATCAGACTTTTTTGATGGGTCAAAAACCTGCATGCTTTGATCAGAAGATTCCTTGACATTTCAAAACTAAAATAGGGGTAGGATGATGAGACTAGTTTGAAAACCTGGCTGAATATACTTAACTCTGTCTGTCAGTCATCGTTAGTCCATCAGGTGTAGAAAGACAGGATGTAATTTGAAACTCTGTCCACTATTCTGCATTTTGATTCTAGAATTTACAAGCTACCTTATTCAATTCAACGACAATAATTACACAGAGAGTGAGTGAAGTTCGATTTTAGAATTGATTTACAACTGCAGCTTACAAAATCAACAATCGTGAATTTTAAAAGTGTAGAAATATTCGATTTAGTTGTGAAACAATTCACTAGATCTATTGATCTCGTGGTAGCTTGAATAGACTGGTCGAATTTTGGCACTGAGACAGTAGAATGTTCAATGTACTGATCTATAGATGAACAGAATAGTTTACTAAACGTTTAGTCTTTGTATTAATTAAAGCCGAGTTAAAAAGGAGAGATATGTAGAAGAAAGGGTACAGAATATTTCAACTGGTCATTGTAAAGACAGAGTAAATACTATCCATTGTTCGTGGGTCAATATTGAAATAAACACAGTGATGACAAGTCTCTCCAACATACCAGACCAAACACAATATCAAGATATGACCAGTATTTGACCAATATGGATTATAAGGTGTCTAAATCCGTTATAAATCCGATTATCAATATACATTTATCAACACGATTTGTTTGGTGTATTTCCACAATGGCGGATCCTTTCTCGACTAAAAGGTCTAATTTGTGCGTTTTGTTATTATCTGATTGTGTCATAAGTTGGCCTTTTACATGTTTTACATTTGCAAGTCGTTCAGATGTAACTTGCTACAATGTATCATTTTAATTATTGTCTGTGGACCAAACCATCTTGGACAAAAATTGGCTTTGGGCAGTCTTCTGAGCCAAAGTCGAATATAACATCGGATTGACTTGTATCTAGACCTTGTTAATTCGTTCTCTGTGTATAATGATAAGAAACTAATATGTGCGGGGTGGGGTTGGGGGGAGCAAAATGGGCCAGGGCGTTGAACTTCGGGTAATTTCATTTACAGATTGAACAATTGTGACACTGGTTTAAAAAGTTAGAAAATAGCCTGATGTACTGGTGAGATGTTTGATTAGTGATATTCGTTTGTGTCTCACGATTTGTTCACTCCACCTCCATCAGTCGACAAACGAGATGTTCCTAGGATGCTGCACATAATCCAGACAATTGACACAGTCGTGTTACTAATTGTTAGTTTGAAGTCTCATGACGAGGGCTGGAAATCGTGTCATTAAACCATCTCACCATTCTTTACTAAGCAGGTGTAATTTAACGAAACATGTTAGTAATGTCTGTAAATAGGCCAACCCCGAATTTCACAAACAGTTTAGAGAAAACAATTGCACAGTATTTCAGATGCATTGGATACAAAAAAGTCAAAAATAATTACAAGTTAATTAGTGAGCCACTGTGACACCCATCCCAGAATTTGTCATAAAGTTAAGTAGAAAGTAGCGCTATATTGGGGGGTTGATTTTAGTCTTATATATAAATAGACTTCAGAAGTACTAAAAATGTACGATGATCGCATTATTTCTTCAAAATTATATCAAACTACAAATTTCTTTTCTAATGTCATATTAACTTTCAAACGCAGACTAGCGGTATTTTCACGGTTTCGTCGTTTGTAATTAATCTACAGCTTTGGATTTAGTTCACAGAATATAAATAAATATATTTAAATTTTATTTTCAAACTCTAATAAATAAATAATATAATAAAACAGTTTTAAAATATACATATATCTAATATTATCACAGTTAATTCTTCAAGATTATTGTGTTAACAACTTTGTTCACCAGACTTACACACTTAAAGCTCCGTCAAACAGCTTGAATCGTTGTAAAATAAAATGAAATGAATGGAGTTTTACGTCCTACTTTTCTGCACCATGTGAGCTAATGAAGATATGCAACACCATGCAGGGTGCAATGAGGCAAATTTTGCCAGGACAGCAGCATTAGGCCGTCCTTTTTCGATTTCCAACTGTCGAGGGATCTTTAACGTGTACAGCCTGTAGCACACGGGGCCTCGGTTTATTGTCCCATTCGAACGACTAGACGCTTTTTCCATGTCAGTCCATCTTACCTGCAACACTGACAGAGGGTTGGATAGTTGGAGGACAAAGGTCAGTTTTGTTATAATTTGAATATTAATTTATCACAATTATCTGGAATGGATGTGCTTGTAAATAAGAAATGAATTTGTTCAGACTAACAATAAGAATAAAAACATATACAAGAGATTGTAATAATTTAAAGAAAAGATTATGAAATTATAACATTACAATGATTTCCCTTCGAAACGCAATGTTTACCTTAAAATCAAAAAGAATATCAACACAGCAATAAATGAGAAATACCACTTGGAAAATATCAAAATTATCATAACGAAACAATATTATTATTACCACTTCCTACCATGATAAACACTCAATATTATGGTGTCTGTGTTATGCCAACTCCGTCTGTGTGGTTCACTATCTAAGGCTATATAGATTTTTCTAGATTCACATTAGAGCTAGAAGAGATACACATTATAGTGTTATACATAATGCACATTATACAACATACGTATTATATTAGCAATTATACAATAGTAGAAATTGTAAATTTGTTTACGATTTGATTAGAGCAGAGAGGGTGCGCATTATAAAACATGCGTTTTATATTAGCAATTATACAATAGCTTTGTTAACTAATTTGATCAAATAAAATGAATATCCAAAACTAACAAACATACAAGTGATATCATTGAAGTATATCAAATTATACAAACAGTAAAGATAAAAATCAGATCTACTCAACACAGGGCACTGTAAAATAACACAACAAAGTTCTCGTGATACCAGGCAACTAGAAGAGTAAGGAATCGTGAAGAGGCTTTCTAAACTTTGTAGGCCTTTTTGTATCAGAGACACTGATAGAATAGATATGCACCATTCAAATTTTCAATCAGACATTTATGGTTCCTGCAATTCCACTAAAACTAAGAGTTTTATGATGTCACTATTGACGTCTAATATTATTAACAGCTTTTCTAACAGTGATTTAATAGAATGCATAGTTTTAGTGGAATTTCAAGAACAACAGATGTCTGACTGAAAAATGGAATGATGTAAATTGATGTTATCAGTGTCCTTTGCTACTCAAAAAAAAATATGAAAACCTCTTTACAATCTCTACAAATAATCTTATAACAACAATATAAACATAATCTTTGTTAGATATATAGAAGCAGGAAGGTAAACTTTAAAAACACAAGGTATATAGATATACTACTTCTAGTTTTATTACATACTCCGTTTCGAAACACATACAGGTAACATTAAAAATACAAGATATATAGATACCTGTAGAAACGTAGTATGTACGAACCTGGAAATAGTATACCTATATAACTTGTGTTCTTGAATATCAAAACAGTTTAAATTATAAAGAGACAGCAGTAATCCATCATTACAAATGCTAGTTGTATTACACACAATAAAATAGAATACCCAATAATAAATTACATTATTATGGTTTCTTCTTGGCTGATTTCGGTTCTGGTAAAGCTTTTCTACCTCCAACTCTCACAGCTTGAGGTACTGGCCTTCTTTTAGCTTCTCTTTCAGCCTTTAACTGAAACATCCAAAACATCTAGGTAATGATTTAATAACAATAGGTCTCATTGAGGTTCGCCATCACAAGAATCCAGAATTGAATCGAATCAGCTTGACATGTATCTGTTTATTAAGGATTCACTCTAACTAGAGATGAGGTTGGTTGAAAAGAAACCAGTTACTATTGACAACCAACTAGTCACTATTGACAACCAACTAGTCACTATTGACAACCAACTAGTCACTACTGACAACCAACTAGTCACTATTGACAACCAACTAGTCACTATTGACAACCAACTGGTCACTATTGACAACCAACTAGTCACTATT